GGAGAGAAGGAGAGAAGGAGAGAAGGAGAGAAGGAGAGAAGGAGAGAAGGAGAGAAGGAGAGAAGGAGAGAAGGAGAGAAGGAGAGAAGGAGAGATATGTTTTTCATGCTCAGGACTTGTGAAATATCAACACTTGTTGCTATGACCCAACCTTTTCCTCTTGCTTCAAAATGCAATGAGAAGATGAGCTAACCATTTGTTTTTCAAAGGAAAAAAAAGATTGAAATACTATCTTGATAGTTATGTTATTTACCTGTGACATCTAAACTAATGACAATAGCAGCTTAGCTCAAAATTATTTGAACTCACTTATCACACTTAAAGAATCTGTGTCCTGTTTGCTATTCTGTGACAACCTTACAGCATCCGGTATCTCATCCTCTACTCAAGGGAGTTTGTGTCAGCATATTGACAGATTCCTGAGCCATCTAAGGAGACATATATTATCTGTGTTGTTTTATTTTAATGCCAAGTGAAAAAAAAATAGCTTGGTTCTGTGTTATTGAGACTATGGGCTCTAGACCAGCTTCCAGACTGCTGCAGAAGTGTGCAGAGCTTAAAATCCAAGTATCCACTATTCAAGCAGTGGCATGATCCAACGTGTAAATTCAACAGTTAAATATATCTGACCTGCTGTGAGAGAGACCAATCTTCACACGTGGATGTTCCCATAGAGCAGATTGCATAACCACCCCATAGTGTCCCACTAAGTATCTTTGCTTGATGAGCACAGCTATAACTTTCGGGCAAATAGACTATAATCAAATATTTGAATCTAGTTTCTTGGCATGTGAGAAAACAAAAAGTTTTGGAAGGACTTCTTAATTGAGACTAATGGAAACTTCTCTGATTCAATGGTTTCTGGTAAAGAAAGCTTTAGGAAGAAACACACACACACATACACACACAAAGGAGCTGGACAGAAACAATAGTACAGACTATCTGATTAAAGCCACTTCATCTCCAGGCCCTTTCTACTGTAAAGAAATGGATATTGCTTGGGTTGCTGGAATTAAAAACAAGCAATCAAACAACTCCCTGAATATTTTCTGTAATGGTTTGCTTTGAAGGCTGAGTATTAAATTAAAAAAAAAAAAATAAAAAATTAAAAGAGGGAAGGAGGGGAAGGAATTGATGACAAGGATATAGAGTAGTATATTGTCCCACTCATTTCTCCACCATTCAACTTGAATGGCCTTTTATCCTCACTCTCTTTATTTAGCAGATGTGCTAAATAACAGCTTAGGTTTACTGGTTGATATTCTTACCTATAGAATCTAATTTCAGTAATCTGATTTAGGAATGACAGCACAAGATGGATCTGCAGAGCCTTCCTATGACACAAGGACAGTCTCATGGGCTCAATTTAGACCGTCTCAGCATCTGCCACTGATGATCAGAAAGCACGGGCCCAGGGAGTAGCACACAAACAGAGCAAGTGGTACAAACAGAGCAGAGTTTCCCTGTAACATATTTGCAGACTCCAATGACTTTCAGCTCAAATCTAATTCCGGAGCAATTTGTGGAATGAGTATCATCCTATGATAGGGAATTCTATTGCTTTACAAGCATGGAATGAAAAAAGAAACTGTTTTTGTTTTAAATCTGCCTGCCACTAATTTCATTTGATAGTCCCTCTTTCTGCATCAGAAGGGTCACTAAGAAATCAAAGCTCACCCACATTCTCTGTGACACTTCAAATGTTATGTGATAGATATATTTCTCATGGGGTGAAGAGCTGAAGGCCATTAGATTTTTATTTTCAATGCTATCATCTTCAAAATAATTTAAAAGACAACTTTCCTGTCTTGCTACTACCAATACTTGGTACTACCAATACATTGGTACTACCAATATTTAGATTCCAAACTACCTCCTTCCAAGTATGCTTTAGCCTAGGTATATACAACAAATCAAAACAGTTGTGTTCTTTGACAGATTTTGAGTTATTAAGCATATTGAAGCAGGAAAAGTGCAGTGCTCACCTCTGTCCTTGCTGGAAGCTGAATTTTCCTACACAAATACAGCAACAAGCAGGCTTCAATGACTCTTGTCTACTATGTTTTAAATGGAAAGCATCAATATTAATAATTACTTTTTAGTCAGATGTCTGTTTTAGTAATCAGCATTAATAATACTTTTAAAAATAATCTTGAGGTAGCTTGCCAATTTCTGGAAAAAGTACTAACCAAATTTGAGTTATTGTACCATGAAACTAAACACTAGCTCCAAAGAAGACTGGCTCCAGGGGCTAGCAGATATTCAGTAACTCATTTGAAGCTTGACATTCTTTTATGGTAGTCATCCCAGCTGTGTCTCATTTAGTGCAGTCAGTGTGTGTGTACACATGTATTCTTAAAGAAAAATTACATTCTTGAAGAGAAGAACAAAGCCTTCAAAGACAGAAAATGCAGAGTAAGGTGATGGAGGGGAGAGATTACAAACTTAACTAGCTATCAAAGTTTTCCTTCCTCTTTCTTCCAGTGAAAAAGTTAACAACACTCTAGATATTGACTAAGATCTTTCCAATCAAACAATAAGTTCTTGAGTATATCACAGAGGTATAAATGCAGTCATACATACAGTAAGTGTTGATACATTAAAATCTTCACATTGAGTGCTGTAAGCTTGCTAGCTCATAGTTATCAGATTATTGCACAGCTGGCAAGTACTTGCTAGGTCTTATTTGACTTAAAAAGCCGTATTGCCAAGAAAGCTGTTTTTTCAAACAAGAAAACCAAAAAACAACACACATATTCTTCACCAGTAATAAATGAAAACTGGCAGTTTTCATTTACTGAATACAGTGGTATACATATCCTGAGCAGTGGGGTCATGCTGGGATGAAACCTGTCCAGGAGATGATTTGAAGTATGTTCTACAAAAACTCATGAAATGTTTTTCCAATGCAGAGTATTTAACTCTTTTTCATATATCTTCCTTAAGGACTGACATGAGAGAATAACCCACAATTCTTTGGGAATGTGGGAAGCACTTGCAGTGCTTCAAAATTTATTAGAATTGAAGGCAACAGCTTTTGACTGTATATCTGCATGATTTCAACAGCAATATGGAAACTACTGTTTCTTAGCTCCCAGATGCATTGCCAGTCTAGGAGATACTCAAACAAAGCAGTTTCTCAGAATCATTATTCTGGTCAATCCAAAGGTTCCCAACCCTCAGATCTGCAGTAGAAATACTGACTTTAGGAACTGTGGTATTGCTTTGACTAGCAGGCTCAGAAGACAAATCATCTGTATTTTCCCTTGTAAAAGGAGATAGAGGTAACATTTATCATTTAATTTCACAGTAAAAATTATTTTAGTGTGCAGGTCAAGGATTACACTTGTCTAATGAAATACAGCAGAAAATATGCAGCCTCATCTATGCAACAGAATAAGTGCACACTAAGTGTTCTCCAAATGAAAAGACAGGGAAGTTGGGCACAACCTTGCCTGTAGCAGTCATCTTCCGTGTTTTCTTCTCTCATGTCAAAGTTACACAGACAGTTGTCTAAAGGATAAATCACTGTAGCCCATAAAACATGGGAAAGGAAAAGAGCTGCTCCCTTCTTTCCCCAAATCTCACCAACAAAGGGACTGCTGTTGTAAATTAATCGATTATGTGTTTGCTGTTCTCTCTCCTCTTTCATCTCCAGATTAGAACACCTCTATGTGCCAAAATCCATCTTCAATTATTTACCAAATTGGGAAGAATTTTTCCCCTGTTATTAAATTCTTCTTTTTGTATGACTTGAAATGTTGGAATAGCAGCCACTTGTAAATTAGATAATACTTAGCATGGAAGTTGACCAAGAACTATGGGCTGATCTAGGAGATAAATCATCCAGCCTTAGGTTGGGTCAAGCAGTACTGCAATGACTATCATGGACATTGCATTATATCACTATCTTGATCCATGCAAATAGTTGTATTGACATTAACTGGATAAGTAGCATGGCCAAAGTATCTGTGCATTTTGCAGATTCATAACTTGCACTGACCTCTCTTTATCCATGACAGATAAGCATGCAGTTCCCGGATAAGCATGCAAGAAAGAGGTACAGTATTGAAGTAATGCTAGTCAGCTTCCTCTGCTAAGACTACAGGCAGAATATCTTGCATAAGTTCACCTTTATCTTTTCAGAATAAACTTATTTTGCTAACAAATATAGTTATAACATAATTAGCTTTCTGGAAACCAGCTTTGCAAATGTGTTCCCCTTTCCGCACCATTAAATATATACAGGGAACTCTAAATTACCAGAGAAACTAATGAAGAGGAGGTAAATGGGTCTTAGGTTTATTTTCTGCCCAGAGAAGCTCCACATCCTCTTTGCAAATCTCTCTCATTTGAGTAACTGAATTTTATAAAGAACCTTTTGCCAAAGGACTTCAGCAATTCAAGACTCAGAAGTACAATTTGTTCCTCTTTTCGGAGGTTATGTGTGATGTCTTTAAATAAACTGCTTAGAAAGTAACTTCTCATTCTACCTTTCTACTTCCTTCAGACTTGCAAAATCTCCTTATCCATAAAGAATTTTTTTGTTTCCTCTTGATATTAAATAATAAACTGAAACAACTAATTGTAGAGGTAAATTACTTGAAAGTTTTCAACTGAGAAGAAAAAGAACCAAGGGGGCTGATTACTGTCACTACACAAACAGTGGTCATGTGTCGTGTAATGGCTGATTTGGAAAATAATAGTTTTGACACCATGCCCAAGGCCACACCAAGAATGTGACTTCAAAACCATGCATTCCATTTGAAATTATCTTAAGTTTTAGTACTAAATTAACATATAAGCAAGCCTTGCTTATAATTAAAACATAAAACTGAATCTGTGGGACAGTTGCACCCTCTTCCTCAGCCTTTCCTCAACCTTTTTTAATTCTTTTTTTTTTTTTTTTTTTTTGGTGGTGATTTCTCTCCTGGTGTAGATAGTGAAGAAAAAACACTCTTCCACTTTCTGGTCCAGTCTGTATTAACTGCATCCCTACTAAGTAAAGGTTGCTTTCCCACCAGGTAAGCAGCAAAGTCCTACGGTAATGTACCAAAAAGTTTCAAATTCTTTATTATAAGGATAATATGCAGCTCTACCATTCAGACTCCACTAAATCATGCAAACATGTATTTTCCAAGAATTAGACCAAGTGGCCAAATAACAGACACTTAAGTATTAGTAATGCTCAGATCACATATAGCTCTTTGTTGACAGAGCCCTACTACCACACCCAGGGAGTCAGTGCTTGGAGAAGAGCTAGTGTGAGACAAGGGAAGGCTACCTGAAACTGAACCTGAGGCAGGTTCAGGTTATGCTACAGGTATGGAGTTATGCTACAGCTCAGCAGATTGATTTTAAATGGCCATCTGGAGCTCCAGGCTGAAAGCAGAGGCTGATCACTTTTCACTTCTTACATGGACATCTCCCTGGGCCAGGGCTGGAGCAGGTGAGGGAGGAAGAAGTGCTGGCTGTGCAGGAGACAAAAGCCCCAGGTTAGTCCACCAAATACATATTCGACACAAGCTTCATCTCAGTTTCTCTGGCCTGTTTTCCTTTAGCAAACTGCATACAACAAAAAGAAACAAAGAAAGAAACAAACAAAAAACATCCTCCCTCATAGCTATCCATTGCATATCTGCCTCCATGAGGTGGGAGGAAAATAAAAGAGGTGGAGGGAGGCATATGTTAGCAGAATGTAGAAAAAAATAGAAAGATAAGCAACAGCATAGAAGACAGGAGAAGACAACAAATCAATTCTAATATTCACTAAATGGTCCAGATACAAATAAAACAATTCCCATGATTAATTCTGCAACAAAAGTACATTACCCAGAAATTAAATCTAAATGGACTGTCAGATCAGTATCAATCTGTTGCTGAGAATGAGTAGGGCCAACATAGACATGCATTTTCAACTTGCATATCCGAAGTTACTTCTACCTCACTATTTCAAATAGACATGTATCTAGCTCTTGCCCCAAATATTTCCCTTTAATTTCAGGGTACTATTATTATCGCTACTACTTTAAAGTTACTTTTGTCAAAAAAAAAAAAAAAAAAATCTGTGTAACTAGAGAAAAGCTAATGCTTCTACCAAAGGCTCAGCTGGAGCAGTGGTATCAAATGTCACAGATGAGGTGTGTGACTGTTAGTCTTTGACCCCTCATAGCTTAGAGAGCTACTAAAAATACTCCAAGTGAAAGCAGGCACATTTCAACTGCCACAGCACAGCAAGCCTCTGCACATCTCAATGGGACTGATGTGCTCTGTGTCACTCCTTGATGATGCTTTGGACACTAGATTAGTCACTGCAATTTGGAGTTAGCACCAACAGACTTTAAAGTCCTCATTCATGTACATAGCAGCTTTCATCCTCAGGTCAGTTGCATAGCTAAAATGTCAATAAGATACAAGCAAATCTGATTTAGGCAGCAGTGCTGAGCTTTATAAATCAGAATATAGAAGAGAGATAGAAATTTTATTCTAAATAATCAGATAAATAAAAGATTGGTATGCCTGGAACTGCCAGTGAAGAGGAAGGGCTATGTGCTTGGTTTGATTATTGTTTCATCATTTAGTTTCACGTGTTATCTGTTTAGTGTCATTTTGTTTATGGTGATGCCTTTTCTTTCTTGCATAGATGATACAAGAGTTCATGGTCACTGAGCCCAAAGCAAGCAGGAACAGCAGCTTTAGGTGTCTCCAGCACCTGCCATTTCATCTCGAGATGGCCATGGACCCCACAGACAATCTCAACACACACTGTACAAACATTTTCCCCGGAAAAAGAGAAGACCTTCTCTTTTTTCTCTTTCTCTTCCCTGGCAGACCATTCTACCAGGAGTCAAGAGTGGCTATTTATTTCTAGCCTGCAGCTTATGTGATAGCTTCACAACGCCACTCAATGCTGTGAATTAAGATCATCTCTCTTTTTCCCTTTCCCCTTCCCTCTCTCCTGTTATTTCTTCCTACAGAGAGAGAAGTGTGTTGCACGAACTTGCATGCCTACAAAATTTTACTGCAGGCAACACTAGTTTAACTCCTGCTTTCTCCAAAGTCTTCCAATAGGCACCCCATGCTGGGGAAAGAATCTTTTATATTAATAATACTGTCATTTAACCATTGCTATGACTTCAGTGGAGTTATGCTCAGGACCTACTCGCCTCCAAGGCCTTTAAGTGCTGTGGCTTCAGCTGCCCATTAAAACAGTCATCCCTTGGGAAAACTCAGGGAACAGTCTCTTC